GCTCCTGGCCACTGCAGCCTCGACCTGCTGGGCTCCGGTGATCCTTCTGCCTCAGCCTTCCAAGTAGCTGGAACTACAGGTGTCTGCTATCACACCTGGCTAGTTTTTGATTTATTGTAGAGACGAGGTCTCGCCAAGCTGCCCAGGTGGGTCTCGAACCCGCGGGCTCAGGCAATCCACTCACCTTGGCCTCCCAAAGTGCTGGGTTTATAGGTTGAGCCACCGAGCCTGGCCTGGATTCTAATCTTGATCACCCCTATTCCCCCTGCCTCAGCTTCCCTGCCTGTCCTGCTGCTTACCCTGGCCTGAGGCCGTCTGCGTGTGGGGTTGCTGGTCATGTAGGCTCTGGCTGTCCACAGAGATGCCACTGTCACTATGAAGTTTCTCTCCCTCCGGTGGGGGCGTCTGGTTCGCCGGCCGGCTGTTGGCTCCTTGCTTGTTCTGCTTACAGCTGTTCCACCTGCAGCCAGAGGACAGGCTGGGTCTCAGGGGACAAGGGGCTGTCCTGGCCAATGTGGTCGGGATATCTGCACTCTGCCGTGTGGGGGCCAGAGGCATGGTGGGTCCCCAACTGTAACCCCCACCAAAGCATCTGAGGCTGTTTACATACTGCCCCCATGTACACTGAAAGATCTGTGAGCGTAGGGGGCGCTCTGCAAACCCTCAATAGATATTCATGGCATGAATGGTGAATAAAGGACTGCCAGGAATTCCACATTTCCCAATTTACCCTTGTAAAATACTCCCACGTGTGGGCAGCAACATATACAAGAATCTCCTCTGCAATTATAAGCAATAACAAAAATGGAAAATAAACCAAAGGTCCATCAATAGGAGGCTGTCTAAATAAAATATGATTCATCCCTATTACTGAAGGAGTGGTTACAAGTGATCAGATAATCTATATTCCTGAGAAAAGCCCTCCTGAGGGAGATTAAGTGGAAAAGCACGTTATAGAAAATGTAGAGAGTGATCTTAATGATGCTGGAAAAAACTGTGTGTTTACATATAATTATAAAAGTTTTATATACATATTTATAAAAAGATGAACAGAAAAGGGTAGGGAAGGATCCAGTCCAAACAGATTCCATGAAGAGGGGAGGGGGATTTGGGAAGATAAAAGGGAGTTTTAAATTTTGCGTTGAAAGATACTGGTCTTGTTTGCATTTTCCCAGATAAGCATGTATTACTTCGATGATTTTTTTTTTTTTTTTTGAGTTGGAGTCTCACTCCGTCGCCCAGGCTGGAGTGCAGTGGCATCCTCAGGGCCACCCCAGCATCTACTTGCTGGGCTCCGGCGATCCTTCCGCCTCAGCATTCCAAGTAGCAGGAACTACAGGCGCGTGCCACCACACCCAGCTAATTTTTTGATTTATTGTAGAGATGAGGTCTCGCCAAGTTGCCCAGGCTGTTCTCAAACCTGCAGGCTCAGGCAATCCCCTCACTTCGGCCTCCCAAAGTGCTGTGATTACAGGTTTGAGCCACCTTGCCTGGCCTAATGATTAAAAAAAAAAAATGAAAAATGCATTTAAAACTTTAAAATGCTTTCCGGGAGTTCCTGCATATCCCAGACTCCTGGATGTGGGTGTCACAGGATCCTAGGTGTGACAGGCAGAGGGAAGCAACACATGCATACACGGTGATGATGGAGTGAGGGGTGGGACAAGGGCACAAGCATCTGGGGGTGAGAGGAGTCAGGGAGGGGAGTGGCAATGGGGTGCCAGCTGGAGCCAGGACAGGTCCGGGTGAGTCCTCTTCCTAACCTCTGGCTGACAGGCCCTGTCCTAGAGTAGGGCAGCAGATGGCGGATGAGGATGAGCTTGGTCTGGGGTCAAGTTAAAAAGGTTGAGGTCAGAGCACAGTCCTCCTTGAAGGCAAAGTTTCTCCGCCTCTGTCCCCTCTCTTACCTCTTGAAGGCAATGTAGGCCACGAGGCCCACCACCACGGCAGCCAGGATGGAGCAGTAGACAGGGATGAGGTTGTCGGTGGTGCCACGGGTCACCACGGGCTGGGAGCTGCCCATCACTGTGGTCACCACATCTGCCACTGTGCTGGCTATGATGTCTTGGTCTGGAGGCGCCTCGGGTTCCTGGGTGCTGGGGGCTGTGCTGTCCGAGCCCTCCGGAGGCGTGGGCCTCGTAATCCACCGGCCTGGGATCTCTGGGAGAAAGGCCACAGGAGTGACGCGCTCCCCCACGGGCCTCTCTCCTATGTCCAACCCACTCCAGCACTTCTTCCTGAGCCCCCACCCCTGGCTCCGGGTGTGCCTGTGCCCAGCTGTTATGCACGGGGTGGAGGCTGGGAGTGGAGGCTGAAAAGCAAGGGCCTGTGAGTCTGGGGACCTGGGTCTGCTTCAGCTCTGTCACCCACCCACCTGCTGTGTGACTCTGGTCAGTCCCTTTTCTCTGAGGACCTCAACCTCCCCATCTGTAGAAAGGGGATTTTAAGAGAGATGATCTCTAGGCTCCTGTCCATCTCAGGCTGTGGTTCTGGAATATTCTATTCTGCCTCCCTGAGGACCCAGAGCCTGGATGGAAGCAAACACACAAAGGAGGCTGAGCCACAGGGAAGCCTCAAGCTGGAGCCACTCTGGGGAAATGTCTCTCCGGCCTCAGGTTGCCCCTGATGACCCCAATCACCTCGGACCCCGGGAAGGATGAGCCCAGTCATCTTCAAGTCTGGTCAGAGAGGTGCTTTTCTCATGCCCTGTCCCCGAGAGCTGGCACTCAGCCCCTCTTCCTGTCTCGAATGTCCTAGACTCTAGGTTTGGGCTGGAGGGGTCGGGGTATGGCTGGGTTTTTCCCTCCCAGTCAGTCCTTGGACAGTGGCCAGCCTTTGTTTCCAGCCCTGCTTGTCCCCCAAGGCCTGATCCCACCACTCAGAGGAGACATCATCAGGTAGTCCCAACCCTGCTTGGGCAGGAAGCAAGTACCAGTGGAGAGAGGGCAGGAAAGGCAGGTACTGCCCGTCAGCTCGGGGAAGGGAGGCTATGCCTTTCCACCCACTGAGGCCCTCTCATGCCAGCTCGGTGCTGCCAGTCTCCCTGGCAGAAGACCGGGTACTTCCTGGCACCAGCAGGCGGGATTTTCCATTCTGCCACACAGCCATGGGCAGTGCTAGGGGCTGTGGGCTCTGGACGGCCTGGGGGTACTTGTCTGGGCAAAACTGCCTGCTCCATCCATGCTCACCTCCCACACGTGGGGCAGGGAGGGAAAGCAGATGGGACATGCCCATGGGGCAAAGAGCAGGGTGCCTTGCTCTCCAGCTCTGCCCCACCCAGTCCCCCCATTTGCCCACCCAAGTAGGATTTGACGCTGTCCACCGGTCTTCTGGGTCTCCTTGCCTCAAGACGAAGAGGCTTCAAAGACCCCCGTTTTCAGCACCTTCTGAGGGGTGAGGCCCCCAGATGTGAATCTGGAATCCATCTGGCTGGCAGGGGTGAGGGCCTGCCATCTGTACCGCCCCCTCCCACCCTCCCCTGTCTTAGTCCTAGAAAGGGGTGGGGAGAGTGAGCGGGAAGTGGGGGAGATTGTCTTCTGGCAGCAGGAGCACTGGATGGGCGAGGGTCTCCTCTTGCCCTGCTCAGGGACTCAGCAAGCCGGGGGGCAGCTCGAGCCCGGAGGTTGAAGACAGTTTAGCTCAGACTGACCCCCAACCCAGAGGCTGAAGGTGAGTGTGTGCTGGGGACCCTGGTGAATCAGACCGTCACAGAGAGTAGGACGGCAGGGAAGGGTGGAGACGGCGGCATGGGGCCGACTGAAGACAGCACTGACTGTCTGGGGCACTCCCCTCTTCTCTCCAGTCCCCTCTGACCGGGATGGGGGATGAGATCCAGATGTGGCCCTGTCCACTAGCATTCCAGCCCGCTAAGCCCTTGGCAGGTCTTGACAACCATTTCCGGAATGGGAGTGCTCAGACTTGGGGACAGAGGCAGGACCAGGCTACCCCTACTGGACCTGAATTTCACTGGGGCAACAGGGGGCCTTCTGCCCCAAGGGTGGAGGAGTCTCCATGGTGACACCTGAACGTTTATGCAGGAAGGTATGGAACACGGGAGGGAGGGGAGGGGAAACAGAACAAAGAATCAAATTCTATTTCCTAAGATGGGGTCCCTCTGCCAGGGAGCTGGCATTTAACCCTTCAGAGGCTGGATCCGAAAGGGGCGTGGGGGCAGTGATAAGCACACCCCTCAGGGGTACCCACCTCCTTCAGGAGTGGCTGGGAAGGCAGGGTGGTAGCTGGGAGAAATCTGTGAACGCCCCAAAAGGGCCACCACCTTCCTTTGCTCTGGCCGCGCCCCCTACTAAGGCCTCTGCCGGCCGGTCTGGACTTGCCCAGGGAACTGTGCTGCCCGCTTGCCTGCGGCCTGACTGCTGGAACACCCTCCCTCCTCCCTGCCTGGCGCCTGATGCCACTTGCCTGTCTGCTGGCCCAGGGCAATTGCCACCAGAGCCACCACATCCTATGGCCCATGTCTTCTCCGCCCCCCTCCCCAGTGCAGGGAGCATCACACACACCCTGGCTCAGCCCAGCTCAGCAGTTTTCTCTACCTGAGCCAGAGATCACAGGACTTGGAAGGCAGGTGGGGGTCATCAGAGCCCCTGTCCGACTGGTGGGTCCCTGGGGGCAGGGGATCTGTCTCCCTTTCCTACTGGGGCTGACTGGGGAGGAGGCAGTGCTGCCTCCATGAGAATAGGGATCTCCAGAGTTGGGACTGTCTTCTCCCTCGGCTAGGAACCATATGTTGGGACCATGTCTCCCTCATCAGACTAGGACGAAGGTCGTCTCTCTCCCGTCAAACTGAGGACTTCCTAAGGGAGGCGCTATGGAGCCTTCCCAGAAGTCAGTAGCCTGAGGGTTAGGTCTCAAGGGAGATCGCTCAGTAGGTACACAGCCACAGGATGCTGGGCCAGGATGCTGAGGCATCGCCAGCCTCTCTGCAACAAAAGAACTCACCTGTCTTCCCTGAGGTGGACATTATCTCCCATGGGGCTTCCTTCCCCTATCCTGGGAACTGCCCATCTCCCTAGGGCCCTAAGCCTGGTCAAGGTGGGCACACCCAGCTCCCACCTACCTAGAGAGCTGAGAACCTCTGTGCGTACCTGCCTTGTCTGGGCGTCCAAGCCCAGGCCTGCCCCTCCTCCCATGACCCCCTCCCCCAGTGCTCCTGCACCCAACCTCATCCTTCACTAAACTTCAACAGCCACTGTTAACCCCTCCCTGAGACAACACGAGCTGAGGTGGGCCAGCCCCATTGCACGTTCTCTAACCCATGACAACCCTGGTAACAAGACCAGCAGGGAAACTGTGGGCCAGAGACAGGAGTGACCTCCCTCATGCCAGACGGTGATAGAGCAGCCACAGATGAATGCAGCATGGAAATTGCACCGTCCTACCCATGGCCTGGGACGATGGTGACACCAGCTTTCCAAAGACAGAGCCCAAAGAAGGCTTAAATAACGCAAGGAGTCCTTTGGAAGATGGGATCTGAATGCCTCCTCCCTCAAGCTCCAGACTGAGGGGACAGGCTGAGGCCCAGGGAAGATGCCCACAGGTTCACGGTCACAGAGAGGCTCTGGCAGGCCAGGCTGGGCCCTCGTCTGCCCCCAGAGGGCGATATTCCTCGGGACTCCAGCCCGGGCTCACCGCTTATGCGTTCCCCCACCCCCACCCTGCGCCCCGAAGCCGGATCTGCGCTCACCCTCACACTCGGCGTCCGCCCAGCGCGTGCACTCGCGCAGCTGGCGCTCGGTGTCCTCGCACACGGTACACGGCAGGCACGGGTCCACATGGTTGGCCTCATCGGAGTAGGTGCCGTCGGGGCACTCCTCGCACACAGTGTTCTGCTTGTCCTGACACGAGAACACGAGCCCGGAGCCCGCCTCGCACACCTGGCATGCCTCACAGCGGCCTGTGATCTCGTCCTGGTAGTAGCCGTAGGCACAGCGACACACGGCGTCGTCCGCCTCCACGCAGGGCGCCGACATGCTCTGCAGGCCCACACACTCAGTGCACGGCTTGCACGGCTCGGTGGCGCTCACCACGTCGGAGAACGTCACGCCTGGGCGGAGGGAGGGCGGGGGACAGACACAAAGCTGAGTCGCTTGCTCACTGGGCACGCAGGAGCTGGAGCCCCTCCTGCACCCATTGCCTGCTAGGACGCTGACACGCCCTCCCCACCCCCCATCCCGGTCAGCCTTGCCCCTCATCAAATCCCACCCTCTTCCTAGGGACCCTGACCCCCAGTCTGTGAGAGTTGGTGACAGCCAACTGGGAGAGGGGTGGGCACCAGGAGCAGCCCCAGGTTACTGGCCTGGAGGCTTTCCAGGATAACCCAGCTGGTGCTGGTAAACTTGGCAAATTCTCTTAAAGAGTTCCCAGCAAGATTAAGGAATAATCTGAGCGTGGTCCCCACCCAGCCCTCCCCGCCGGCCAGAGCTAGGCTATGAATTCAGCCCAGCAAGGCAGATCTTCCCCTAGGGAGCCTCCCACTCAGCTGCCTTCTTCCTGTCCACACAGGTGGGGGCTCAGGTGCAGCCCCAATGGGCGTGGAGAGCCAGACCACAGGATTTACCACCCATGGCGCTACCCCACGCTGCTGAAGGGCTTGGCTCCTGAGGGTGGGGACAGGACTGCAGGCAAGAGAGTTCAGGTACAGCAGCAGCGACTGAAGCTAGAAACCAAAAAGGACTTGCACATGCTCTTCCAACTGACATAAGGGTCTGAGCTCACTCTTGACTCACGCTCTCTTTTTTTGTTTGTTTGAGTTGGAGTCTCACTCCGTTGCCCAGGCTGGAGCGCCGTGGCACGCTCACGGCTATCCCAGCGTCAACCTGCTGGGCTCCGGCGATCCTTCCACCTCAGCCTTCCAAGTAGCACGCTACCACACCCAGCTAATTTATTTTTTATTTATTTTTTATTGTAGAGACAAGGTCTCGCCAAGTTGCCCAGACTGGTCTCAAACCCACAGGCTCAGGCAGTCCACTTGCCTCGGCCTCCCAAAGTGCTGGGATTACAGGCTGAGCCACCGAGCCCGGCCTATGCTCTCTTAATTAATGAATGTGCCCTCCAGAATGAGGGGAGAGAGGCCAGGGCACGTCAGGGTCCCTGCTTCTTGTGCTTCACCCCTTCCAACCCAGGGTCGAGAACTCTGTGCCAATCTGGATATGGAAGGACCTATCCTTGCTCAAAGGACAGAAAGAGCACGAATTTAGGAACCTGAGGACCAGGGTAGGAGGGGTTGTTCAGAATGTGGAAGCAGAGGCAGAAAGCACCATCAAAGGGAAATTGAGGCCTGCTAGGGGGTCTCAACATTATCCAAAGGCATCAGAAGCAAGATGGAGCCCAGGGGCATGATCTGGAGGGTAAAGGGAGGTGGGAAAGAAATGGGGGGCAGGGAGAAGACCCAAGGAGAAGGGCCAGAGAGAGACTTCAGTTTCCAGTCCCTCCTAGAGAACAGGCAGATCTGGATTCAAAACCGGCTTCCATCACTTATTAGCTATGTGACTCTGGGTGTACTATTTAACCTCTCTGAGCCTTTTCTTTCTCTGTTAAATAGGAAATAACATCTCCACTCACAGGGCTGTGGTGAGGAAGAAATGAAATTCATCCATAAAGCACTTGGCATCCAGCAGGGATCCTATAAAGGGGGGCCCCTGCAGGTGGGCAGTGATAAACACAGGGAACTTGGTGGTAGGGATATAGTCTGACAACAGAAAGGACTTCCAGACATACACAGCTGAGGCATGATGTCTGATCTCTACACACAAGAGGGTCCTATCTGGAGGGCATGTGGCAAGGGTGGGTCTAGTCACACCCGAGAGGAAGGGGAGAGCCCGGCTCCTGGGAAACTAAAGAGAATTAGCAGAAGGCTCCTGAGAGATGGTTTTAGGTGGTGTGAAAAATGTGGTATGTTTTGGCAGAGAATGAAGGCAGGGGCTTAATAGGTTTCCTTGTGGAAACGTTTTGAGGATAAAGGGAAAGTCCGCTGGGGTCTCCATCCCCATAAAGTGGGCTTGTAAAGGAGGCCTGTTAACGCAGCTGGAGGGAAGGGAGGGAGGGAGGAAGTGGGCGGGGTGGCTCACAAGGCCACCTCTGCGCCTGCCTCTCCTCCTCTGCCCCAGAGATTCTGGAACATTCCTCTCCTGAGCTTCTCTACCCCAAATCCCTCTGAAGCTCCTTTGGCTGAAGGGAATGAGGTCCCCTCCTAGGAGGCTCAGATCCCGGGGTGGGGGAAGAGCTGGCTGGAGTCCCAGGAGTGAGAGAAGCCAACTTTGGAGGTTCCAGCAGAGCCGGTGGTGGTTGGCCAACCCCAGACTGAGATGGCACCCCTGTCAGATGAGGGCCAGAGCGTGTGGCCAGACAGCCAGGTGGCAAGGGCACCACAGGACATCCACCCTCCCCACGCAGCCCAGGCATCCCTCAGCTGGTGAATGGGGAGACAGAATCCACTGGCACAGAGATGGGAAAACAGTGTGTCTGGGAATTGCCAAGGGGCTGGGGTTGCCTGGAGGATAGATAAACTTTGGGGACGGATCCTGAAGAGATAGGCTGGCAGGTGGGGTTATAGTCCCAGCCTTATTCCCTTATTCCCAGCAGGATTCAATAATAATTCGAGTATGGTTCCCACCAGTTCTCCAGGTGGGCGTTGAATGCCAGGTAGCAGGCAGGATCTGACTGACAGGAGTCAGGAAAAGGACGCTGAGCCCACGGCGTGAAGGCAGCCACTGCGGACTAGGGGTGGAGACTGTGACCCCTGACTCAAAATCACATGAAATTCAGTCCTTGGCGGAGGTGCCCAGACCTGCCACCCCTCTGCCTTCCTCATTCACCAGCCCTGGATAGCTGAGGTTCTTTCCCCTCCTGAAGGAAAGCCCAAGTGGGAATGACCCCGGCTCCCCATCTCCCCTCCACCCAGGTCACCCCACAGTAAGGACGTCCTTATAGTGCTCCAACCCCCATCCCTGCTGCCTCTGCTTCCTGGCCAAAGCTGGAGAGCAGTTGGCCTGGGGGAGGGTGGCCACGCCTTCCCAGGATCCCCCAAGGTCAGTCTCCAGGGCACCAGGATTTGATCCTCCACTCCCTTCCCTGCACACAAGGGTAAGTGGCCGCCATTGATTTTGCAGAGCTGATGATATTTTTAGCCTGGTCTTAGCATCAGCTACTCTCCCACCCGGCCACGTTCTTCTTCCAGGCCTCTCTGCTTGGGAGCTAGGCAGGGGCACCCCTGGGGATCCCCCATCCATCGGCTCCCTCTCCTCCATTCTCAGTTTCTCCTGTCTGCTTCCTAGACTGGGTCAGACCCACTTCTGGTGACTGCACAGCAGAGGGCAGGGGACCCCAGCCCCCTCCACCCTCACTGGTCTCTTCCCCAGACCCGCCTGTACTCACTGTCCAGGCAGGGCTCACACACGGTCTGGTTGGCTCCGCAGAGTTGGGCCACACCCTCGCCCAGGTTGCAGGCTTTGCAGCACTCGCCGCTGTGGGTGTACAGGCCTGTGGTGCATGCCTCCTTGGCACCTCCAAGGGACACCTGGGTGGAGGAGAGCAGAGGGTCAAGACTGGCAAGAGAAGGGGGGTGGCTTCCTGGGGAGCAAATGCACCCCCCACAACACCTTCTATTGGAAACACCTGGGCTGGGATGAGCTCACTGGAGAAGTATTAGACACATCAAAGCTGGCCCAAGAGAGGCAGCGGGGACAGTGCGCCCCTGCAGGCTGCTGGGGTGTGAGGTCAGAGTCTGGGCTGCTGACCTTCTGCAAAGTTCATCTTGAGGTTACAGCGAGTCCTGGAACCCCAAGGATATACCATGTGGGAAAGGCAGCCAAGGCCCAGGGGAGAGCCTTCTGGCAGGTACGACATGAATGACTGGACAGGTTGCAGCGTGCACAGGACTCCCAGCCAAGGGGCAAGTCGAACTGAAATCTAGCCCAAACTCCATTCACTAAGCTTCACACCTGCAGGGCTCTACTCAGAAGAGGGCCTTTTTCTAACAAAAGCTGGCAGGGCCCTTCTCCAGGACCTTAATTCCACATATTCAATCACAAATGGGAGGTGTCTGTGCCCAAGAGTGGAAGGCGGAGGGCTGGGGCCTCGGGTTTGAATCCTGACTCTGGGGGCCGGGGGGTGCTTCTGGGCAGCCCTGCTTTCCCTCTTTTTAATCCTCACTTCCCTATACAGATAGATGGCAACAGCCTGGTGCCAGGGCAAAGGACCAGTCAACTGGCAAAAGTTTGGCACCAAGCCAGGGAGAAAGGGAGACCCATTTTCAATGATGAGACGGTGGCTGCTCTCACCACCCAGCCACCCTGCCACGCCATGGCTTGATTTCCAGTCACCAGACCCAACCCCCACCCCCACGTGGCCACTGGGAACAGTGCTGGAACCAGGGGAAAGGGGAGTCAGATTCCTGCCACTGAAGCATCTTTGCTCATGGATGGAACAATTTAACACCACATTCCCTAGAGGGAGGGGCTGCTGGAGGCCTGCTTTTATATTTCTGTGCCTTAAAAAAAAATCTTAATGCCTAATAAAACTCCAAAGCCTGCTTTGCTGGCTCCAGACCACGCAGCCCTCATTTGATGCTGAGAAGTATGGGCTCCGGGATCGTGGGACCAGAGGGCAGCTTTACAAGGTTGTTTGGGACATTCCTCCACTTTCACATTGATCAGATCAGAACCAAGATGACCCTTTCCCTCCAGTCTTCTAAAATATTCTGCAGTCTCACCAGGATTTGGTGGGAGGAGGAAACAGAGGAGGCAGGGGGATGGATGGGTTGGACCAATCTAAGAAGCAGCCGTGGTCCCCATGAGACTGGCAGGGAGGGCGCAGGCAGCAGAGAGGGAATCAGCCTCGAGTGTTGCCACCCTCTCCTCCCAGACCGAAGCAGCACACAGGGCTGGGAACATGTGCAGACCAGGAGCCTGGCCTCTCAGACGCAGGCTTTCCCCCAGGAGGCGAGATTCCAGAAGGGCCTGTTCTGATTTCTTTTCATCCTTTAGGGCTCTGCTTAAATGTCACTTCCTCAAGGAAGTGGTCCTGTCACCCCCACCCCTCCCAGATTGAGTGGAGCTGCCTCATTACCCAGCCTTCTTGTCTGGCTGAATTTACAGCTGAATTTATAGACTCCTCCCCCGAGGAGCCTGGATTGCCCCCCCCCAAGCATGACACAGTGCATGGCACACAGGAGGGGCCAGATGTCTACATGCATGAAATTTTTTTTTTTTTTTTGAGTTGGAGTCTCACTGTCGCCCAGACTGGAGTGCAGTGGCCGCTCCGGCCACCGCAGCCTCGACCTGCCGGGCTCCGGCGATCCTTCCGCCTCCGCCTTCCAAGTAGCCGGAATTACAGGCACGTGCTACACGCCCGGCTAATCTTTGATTTATTGTAGAGATGAGGTCTCGCCAAGTTGCCCAAGTAGGTCTCGAACCCGTGGGCTCAGGCAATCTACTCGCCTCAGCCTCCCAAAGCACGGGACTACAAGCTGAGCCACCGAGCCCGGCTGTGCATGGAATCTAAGAAGATGAAGAACACTATATGACCTCCATGAACCAGGACCCTGGGAGAACGACTCTCAGATAAGCCGAGTTTCCCCACGGCCAAGGGTTTGCTACCGTAATCACCGAATGTTTCTCATTTCCACCATGGTGGCTGCACCCTTCTCTGTCTCTAGAACATACCTTCATGGTTCCCACATGACTCAGGGACTCAGTATTTACATGAACGATTATTCTGGGCCCCAGTGCAGTGAAGATCTTTGTGCTCTTTATCCCAAATTACCACACTTTTGTCTTTTTGAGTTCTCCTGTCAGCTTTTTTATAGTTTTTCTGTCTCCTCTCTTCCTGTCAAGGTATCAGTTGTCACTGCCTGCTGCTACCAGGGTGTGACCTGAAGCAGCCCCTCCCCCACCACGCTAATTTATTTCAGGTCTAATTGAATCTTCAGAAACTGTGTAACCAGCCTTGGTAGAAAGGTGTGCACATGGGATCTGAATGGGGGGTGGGAAGGACAGCTCTCTGAGTGAAATGTGTGAGCCATTGGGTCCCCCTTCCCCCTCCTCTGCCTCCATGGCTGACTCCTGACTTGCTACTGAGGAGCTGAGTGACTTGGGGCAGGATTCGGATTTCTCTGTGCCTCAGTTTCCCCCTCCTTAGGTCATCATGACAGTACCTGTCTCAGGATTGCTGTATTAGATGAGTGAGCAAGGTGTCTATAGACTCCAGGACCCCTCTTTTTTCTCTTCTCCAAGGGCTTTTTGCTGCCTTTACAGCTCTTGGTGTGCTCCAATTAATTGAGGTCAGCAGAGGCCTGGGCTTCGGATCGCTGAGGGGGTCTGTCTATGGTGGTCAGGGCGGGTGTGGTAGCTTTGTGCAAAAGGCCCTCCATCGAGAAACCTGTTCTCCCTGCTGCAGCCCAAGGCCCTCTCTCTTCTCTCAAGACTTGCATTTGGAGTCGGGGCCAAATAATTAGTAACCATGTGTTTCCTGTGCTGATTTTTTTTTTTTTTTTTTTGAGTTGGAGTCTCATGCTGTCACCCAGACTGGAGTGCAGTGGCCACTCCTGGCCACTGCAGCCTCGACCTGCTGGGCTCCGGAAATCCTTTCGCCTCAGCCTTCCAAGTAGCTGGAACTACAGGTGCGCACTACCACACCCGGCTAATTTTTGATTTATTGTAGAGACGAGGTCTCACCGCGGTCTCAGGCAATCCACTCACCTCGGCCTCCCGAAGTGCTGGGATTACAGGCTGAGCCACCGAGCCCGGCCCATGCTGGTTTTATGTTCCTCCCTCTATCATAAAATCCCAGATCTCCCACTGTATAGTATGCTTCTTTGGGTAAATTACTTAATCTCCCTAAACCTCAGTTTTCCCACTTAGAACACTGGGTTGACAATATCTACTGTCCAGAATTGCTGGGAGAATTAAATGAAATCATTTATGCAGATATGTCTGTCCTCCAGTAGAAATTCAGTAGATGTTGGTTATCAAAGAAGTATCTTGTCCTGGGCAAAATCAGCTACTGACCCCAGGGAGGAGGTCCTGGGAGGGGAGGTCTAGCCAAGCAGGGAGGGGTGACTAGAGTCAGGCTAACTGCTCCGAAGTCAGATCCAAAATGATCAAGGTATCATTTTGTCTGCAATATGTATGTATTATAATGTATGTTTGATACTCATTCATTTCCAAGTTGGTAGTGATTTCATCCAATTTTCAAAAATGTCGCCATCTTTCTGTTTTGACCATTCGAAGGCTTTCAAGAAATCAAGGTAGAAATATCCTTGGGTGAATTGACATTTTTTTTTTTTTTTTTTTGAGTTGGAGTCGCACTCTGTCATCCAGGCTGGAGTGCAGTGGCACGCTCAAGGCCACCGCAGCCTCTACCTGCTGGGCTCAGGCAATCCTTCCGTCTCAGCCTTCCAAGTAGCCGGAACTACAGGCATGTGCTACCACGCCTGGCTATTTTTTACTTTATTGTAGAGACAAAGTCTCACCAAATTCCCCAGGCTGGTCTCGAACAAAGGTCTCACCAAATTCCCTTGGTCTCCCAAAGTGTTGGGATTACAGGCTGAGCCACCATGCCTGGCTGGGTGAATTGACTTTTAAGAATTTTTATTTTCTTGGCTGGGCACAGTGGCTCAGGCCTATAATCCCAGCACTTTGGGAGGCCAAGGCAGGAGGACTGCTTGAGCCCAGGAGTTCAACACCAGCCTGGGCAACATAGCAAGACCTTGTCTCTACAAAAATTAAAAAATTTGCCAGGCATGGTGGTGTGCAGCTGTAGTTCCAGCTCGGGACTTGGGAGGCTGAGATGGAAGGATCATCTGAGCCCAGGAGGCCGAGGTTGTGGTGAGCTGTGATCATGCCACTGCACTCCAGCCTGGGCAACAGAATGAAACTCTCATTTAAAAAAAAAAAATCTTAATTGGAGAAAAGAGGAAACCAAAAATAGTTGAAAGTATTTGAAGCGATATGTGTGCTTTGGTGTGATTAGTCCTGACCATTCACAACAGCTCAGCAAAGGGTTACCCCGGTGAAGGGTACTATGGGGTTGCCTCCATGCAAACGCAAGGGAGGCCCCGGCACACGCCCTTTAGATGGGGAGTGAGTTGGGGGTAGGAGACACGCGTTAATGGCCTAGTATGCTGCAGCGTGAACACTTGGGAGGGGGTTCAGGGTGGGGAGAAGGGACTTAGTTCTAAATCTGTGACGCCAAAGGCATCTGGCCGGATGTGATCCCTCGGGCCAGCGGGAGCTCACAACCACAGCTCCTTCCAGATCTAGAAAGTGGGGGAGGGAGGGAGCCTGGGTAAAGCATCCTGGGTTCCAACAAGGGCGCCACCACTTACTAATGGGGCGAGCCTGGTCTCGCGTCCGGAAGTCTGGGGGGCTCAGCTACCTCTACTGCAAAATGGGTATAACTAAACTCAGCTTGTTAGGCCCTTTTGTGAAATCAGTAACTCAAGAGGAAGTACCCAGGGCAGCGCGAGCCACTTCGTAGGCGCTCGGTGCCTTTTGTTATTCCCGCCTCCCCATCCCGCCCCCCAGGGAAAGAGCAAGGCGCTGGGAGGCAGCCGGGGCCGGGACGATGCGGCGGGGCTCCTCCCTCCCGGAGCCGCCTCCCTAACCACCGAGCTCCCGCCGGCCGCTGGCGCACGCCCATTTGCCGCCGGGGATGCGTCCCTATTAGGCGCATTAGCCGGCCTGGCGGCTCCGGTTACAGACGTCTGAATGACAAAGTGCCTGCATTACCGGCGCGGCCC